AGGTGGGGGCCACAGTGCTGCCCTCAGACAGACTCTGTTTATTTATACAGTCTGCCGTCTGCCCACCTTACCCACCACAGGGCTACATTCACTGAATTTACAGTCGTCAGGAGAGAAAAATATGCTAATGATGCCGCGTAGCCCTGAGGAGAAACAAAAACATTTTCCATTCAAAGTTTCCACACTCGTATCGGTTATATCAGGCTGGATCTCGTGCACGTTCACCACCAATGCGGCGTGTACAGTATCTCAGCTCTTCGCAGCACCAATCCATTATTTGCTACTCTGTCCCCTGGGGCAAATATAAATTGGATCCAATAATGAGAGGCAGTAATGATTGTCTTTGCGTATTTGGTCTTGATTTTCAATTATATATTGCTGATATTATTGTCCTGGATGCTGTGCGTTGTGGTATTAAATTGAACTTCTCCGTAAAAATGGACTCAGTGTCTTATTGAACATGCAAAGAAAGTATTGTTTTCAGGCAAGGTTTTATTATAGCCAACCTTCCAACAGGCTTATTCAAATCTATGCGTTTACATCTACAACTTTGCCTCTATAACTTCTGCTTCTTACCTTGATCAGATACTGAATGCTCTGTAAAATCTTGATAACAGATCAAAAGTCACGCAATGCAGAAATAAGGAGTGAATATTCCATTGCTGTGACACACACAGAGACAGAACAAATGAGAGAAAGGAGATAGTCCTCTCCACACCATTAAGGATGCTGAATAGTAAAGTCCTTGTTCCATTCCAATTTTCTAAGCTTTGAAGGAGTTGGTGGTTGGATGTGGGCTGCCTCACAGAGCATGTCTTCTGTTCCACTGAGCACACAGTAGCTTAGGGATCAGCCTGTGTCCCTGACAGGAATATGTGCCACTGAGTGTTGGCCTGTCCACAGAACAGAGCTGCGAGCCTCAGATCAGTGGCACTGGCTGGCCTACGGGTTGTTCTTTATGGCTGTGTCGCTGAGTGGCTGGCTCTCTGCTGTGCATGCGGCAGCCCTCCAGATGGATGCTGGGACAGCGGAGGCCACAGGGCTGAAAATCCCATCAAGCGGCAGTTCCAGGCCCTTGCACTGAGAAGATGAAGCGCACCAGCACGCCAGGGGACATGGGCCAAACCCTTCTGCACCTCTATCACCCCCCAACCCCAATCCCTTCATGTCCCTCTTTCCTTCCTCCCTTCGTCCCTCTCTTCCCCCTTTTTCTTCCTTTTACAGGAGAAGACCGCAAGCCCAACCAGCCAGAATATGGAGTGTGGCCCTCGGGGTCTGTGGCCCTCGCTTGTTAAATAAAGGAGCTGACTGGTTGATTGATAGACCCTCAGCAGTCCCTGCACCTCACATGTTTCCCGGTTCGCTGCCTTATATACGAATCCTTTGTTGGCCTGGCCTGCGTTAGCGTTTGTTAAATGCACTGTTTGATGGATGGCACCAATTTTCCTCCAAAACCCAGATGAGCCACCTAAGCACCTTTCCCCCTCCCCTGGTTTCTACCCAGGTAAACCCCAAGAGCATGAGGGGACAGGAGTGTTCTAAAACGGTATCAATCAAACAACCTTGTGCACGGCTGCAGCAGCGACGCAATGTTTCAATTATGCATCTGTTCCTCAGTGCCTGCCATTTTGTTCAACCTCTTACCCCCACCAAGGCACAGAGGAAGTGCCCTGCCTGGTGTCCTCACCCAAGTCCTTAATTTTACTATTTAAGTGTGTCTGCATATCTGTCACCATTTTATACCTTAACTCTATACAAAGTATACTAGCGGAATAGACTCAAGATTTAAGAGAGCTTTATTGTCGATGTCTGCCACAATAAGATGAGAGGTGCACAGTCTAGGACTTTCATCAATAATTAATTTGGTCTATAAATTGTCCAAAAATAGTGAAAATATCTTTACTGAAATAATTGTACTAATTAATTAAGTTTTAAAATTGTAACAGTAAGTTATAAAAACAAATATTTAAGTGAAAACATGATACTATACCATTACACCCAGTTATAAAGTTAACAAATGGTTCTACCAGCCAACACCAACTATCTTTGTGCCTGTAATGCCAGAGGCACCCTCTGAAATCCACAAAGGCTGCAGAGGAGTGTAAGCCTGATGCAGTGCAGCCAACCGACAGGTGAAAAAGATAAACAGATGCGAGACCGGTCTCTGGGGTGTTGGGTTCATTTGTTACCTAGCGAGGACAGACATATTCCTGTCAGACAAGCCATGGCAGCACCAGATGCGAGGTCATTCTAGTTACGGAGTGAAAATCTTGGGTTAAGGACAAAGATTCTCACTTCACACAAGAGATGGCCATGGGGTTTTATTTCCCCTGTGGTCTTTTACAATAAACGCTGGATCCACACATAGCTCCAAGAAGCCAGAAAGCTTTTTTTAATAAAAACTGAAACTTATTCATCATTGCTTGTCTCTTGTTCATTACAGTTTACTGTAATGCTGAACTAACCGCAATTTTGATGATGGATTTAGTTGTTTAAATATTCATCTACAATTATTTTGATTACAGTGTAAATGTAATGTTATGTCAAATCCTTGGCACTATAAGCCCCAGAAACATACACAATACTGTACTTAATTCTTTTTTTACACTAATTCTTGATTATGGTCATTTGTTTATTAGTATTGTCAGATATTTCTAACTGATGACAATAACCATAGTACTGATTAGAAAAGAATGTTGGAAAATTCAAAAGATGCATTTATTTTTAACATCTTTTTTTGTGAGCCAGCTGTGTTTTTATGGTTGCTGTTCTGAGCACCACTTCTCCTGCTTCTATCTGTGTAATATATGTGCATTACTGGGAAGGACAGACAACAGGCAGGCTCATAGAAGGAGGATTTGGGAAGGTACTTGAGACACACTGGCTCCTAACCAAAACAACTGGCGTCTCTCCTCTGCAGATGGACACACAGGTGGGCTCACAGGTGGGGAAGGAAGGGGGAAGTGCTTTGCCAGTTTTGTGTCCTGCTTGTGTGTGTGTGTGTGTACGCACATACAGTAACATCTGGACCATGGTCCACTGACATGTCAGAGAGAAAATGTATCAATGAAGCTACACTGCACCCTTCTGGATGTCTGCAGCACCACATGGCCAAAGCAGATTTTGTGTCATTGCTTAGTTTTCAGAAAATTTTAAAGTCAGCTCTTAAAACCTGTGAATTTTCTTCTTTTTGAATATGTTAATCTGTTTTACCTTTATTTTAAATGCTCCACATCATAGGTTTATACTGTTATCTCTAATCTCACTGCTATCAACTGGTAAAGACATCTCTTTCCTTCATATAAATCAAATGTTTTTTTATGTGCTTCCTCAAACTGAACGATAGGCACAAATATAATTAAGAAAGCCCCTATTGTTTTGGAATAAATTGGTCCTTTTCTCTGACCCTCTTTTATTCAACCCTCCGAGAAATCTCCTAGTTCGCCTTAAAGTTCCTACATAAATGATTTGTCCAGTCTATGAAAAGATGGGCAGAACCAAACAATATGATTGCAGAAAGCAAACTGACAAATAATATTGATCGCTGCGAGACACAGACAGCTAATCAATGAATGTATGTCCTCCCCGCACAAGCTGCAAGTCAAGATCAATTTTGAAGAAAGATGAGGCATCGGCAAATAAAGTGAAGTAGTTCTGAAGCATATCCCGCTGTTGTGAAATGGAATAAATTCCCCAAACATATGAAAAATCGACTGTAGCTGTAAGAAGTGGTCCAGCCAGGCTGCTTGAACTCAGAAAGAACAATCATGCTTAATGCTGTAATTCTAATAAGTATTGTTGCTATTATCTCCAACCAAGTTTATCTTTTTTGTTCTTGGTGTCTGCTCGTACACTTTTATATCGCTTGCTCTCTGGCCTCAGATCATGAACCACCAGATGATTTATTGATCTGAACACAGCCTCCAAATAACCTGCACAATTGTTTCATCACTTTGTCATTATTGGCCCATGATGAGCCAGGCGCCAAAAGTTGGAAAAGTCCCTGAAGGGTGTCTCTTTCAATACTGAATTGATAGGCATATTAGTTTTCATGTATTGCAGACTCATAAGAGGTTACAGGTTGTTATTGGCTCACTGGTTGCACAGTCAGCTCACTGACCTGAATGTCATGTCCATGTGTCTTTCCTTCTTTAATTTTATTTGGAGGTGTGTAAAAAGTAAAAGTCCGACATATATTGATCACTCTTACTTCTTACACTATTCCTAGAGGATTTACAATCAGTCATCTGATAGTGGTATTCATGGTAGTGAAATGTAGCAATTGTGCTTTATTTTTTTCATGTTACTTTTCAATATTATTGTGTGTTCTATGCAAATTAAGTACAACAAACATGCCCACAAACAGTAAGTCAAACTGGATTTCTTTTAATACATTCCCACAAAATTAAATCATATTTGCATTCTGAAATTAGTGCTGCCCTTAAGTCACATGCAAATGTAGCTAATATTCAGTTACAATAGATCGAGGCCAACAGCATCACACAGTGAGTCAAAATATATAAAAGCAAAAAAAAAAAAAACATTTAAGTCCAAGATATAGCCTCTCAGTCTTGTCATAAAGCAAGACAGTCTGAAACAGAAATAGCCTCAGAGGTTGGCCTGGCCCAGATGCTGAGTGAGAACTACTATAAATGGGTAGCATTGTCATGATGAAACTATATCAAGAGGCACAAACAAAACTCAGAGGTCAAACTGGAAGCCACATGTCAAAGTTTACACACAGCACAGAAAGGCAGACAGCATTTTATTATTTTTTTAAACTTAAAAGGACAAATTGCCAAATGATAAAATTGCACCATAGGAAAATGGATGTTTCCTCATTGTTACTTCAATAACACAATATTTATATTGCAGTTCCAAACTTAGTTATGTGGCTTTTGTGGAACACTTTGTTGACCATGTGATTTCCCACAAAAGGGTTAACTCACCCCATAAAAGGGGTTAAATTAACAATATTACATGATAAATGTACAATATGGAAAAAAGGCAACGATATTAAGTGTATCAGAACAAGAAATCACTCATAGTATGTGGCAGTAATTATTAATATATGGCACTTAGAGATATCACTGCAGTTACAAGATATTCACATTAACAAAACACAAGGTAATATAAATACACTGTACCATTTAATTTGGTGGTTAATTGCTGCTAAATTCTTGACTTCCACACTGCATACCAATAAATTAACCAGTCCATTATCATTTAGGTTACTGTGTTTCAGAATTACAAACATCAGAACATTTTCCAAAAGAGATTTTTTATTTTGGATGCGGAAGTCAATGTATTATACATTATAGTATTAGATGTTTATCTGCATTCAAAATCAGCAAAGCACAATACAGACAATTACCAGACACTTCAACACTACAGCCAGAAAAAGCTGTTACCTGAGGAAGAACATAAAATATTTAGTGCCTAATAAAAGGCATCTTTTTCTGGGCTAAGAGTAGTTACATGACACTGTTTCCCAAATGAGAGCAAATGCGGTTAGTAACGATTAAACTTCAAGCATACAACCTGATAAGTGAAGCATAAAACCTGACTTCCTGAGAAGTATCCCAGAGCAGACGAGTAGAAGAGTCATTAGTTTCAAAGGAAAGTAGGATATCTCACTCAAACTGAGAAGCGTTTATCAATATAGAGTTTTATGAAGTCTATTTTCTTAATGACAAAAAATGACCATTCAAATTTTCCTTCAATCAATCTGTTTACCTGTTTAACTTCAAAGCACTGTTAAAAAAAACAAAAAAACGCTATGGCATATAATGGCAATTATGCCTAACTCAATTCACAGTTTTCATATTCCCTTTTTGACAAATGTTTCATATATGACATGTACAGCCTTTAAAGCGTCACTATGTAACTTTTTAAATATGAAACGTTGTACACATGAAATTCTAATTTCAAAAACATTAAAACACACCCTTAGTCACTTAAATATATGCTAGGCTTTTGTTACCTTCACTGGTCCGGTATTACTAGCTTATGGTGGCTAAAGTTAGCTAATGATAGCAAACAGATATTGCTGTGTAACCCATGTTATTGAGTCAGTTTGTTGCCACTGTAACACCTCACAGTGGCAAAGCAAAACTTACATATTCTCAAGGACACAGATATTTTTCCATTAAATTCATTAAATGCAATAAAACATTACAATGAGATTTTGAGCCTTTTTGAGTCAAGCAGTTTCACATTTGTAACATAATTAGTAGTAACATTTTTAATTCCTTTGAAAAGTTAAATACTTCTCCATATTGAACAACCTTTTCATGCAATGTCCCTCCTGCCAAGCATAAAAGCTAATTTGTGAAGCTTGTCTTACAAGCAAATTGGAACAGTCGCTAATCAAGTCTGTTCAGCTTTACATTTCCTTCTTGCTAGACCCAAACAAAATAAGCAATTTCATCCAGATCCACAGGATAGTCTGTGAGGTGAAGTGGCTCCTTGATATCAAATCTCTCTCCCTTGTAGCTTCTCCAACGGCCAGCGGGGAGGTAGATGTCACGCTCTTGCTTTCCAGGCTCTAGAACTGGGGCTACCATGAGGTCATCCCCAATCAGGAACTGGGAGTCGATTTTATAGGCTGTCTCATCACCTGTGGCAATCCACCACAGGGGCCGTATGATTGGGTCCCCAGTGTCCAGCACCTCACCAGCCAGCTCCAGGACCCGTGGCGCCACAATACTCTCATGGAGGTCTGTGTATTTCCGAGCAATTTCGACCACCTCGTTGTCGTATTCCCATGGCGGAACAGAAAACTGCATTGAAGGCATGAAGGCTGACAGCTCCAGCCAGCGGATATAGAGTTCTCGATCGGGTAACACACGATTTCCATCTGTGCGGTTCAGATAAGCATTCCCTCCAATCATGTCTGGTAAAATGAACTGATAGCCGAGAATGCTAATAGTGAGCACTGTGGGGATAAGAGATTTGAGACCCAACTCATAGCCCCACACTGAGTCTCTATCAATTGGTCTGAAGAAGCAGGATATGTTCTGGGACTGGTAGCCACTGCGCAGCTCAGCTCTATCGTTGTAGGGAATAGCCATTTCTGTGTAACGTCTTGTAAAAAAACTTGGGTCCCGAATGGGAGTTCTGGTACTAAATTTCCATGGTAGATAGTTGGTCTCCCCTGCATCGAATTTAAAAGATGTGACCCCATACCTGGAGCGCAGTGAACGTAGCTGGGAGGAAAACCAGTCACGGGCTTCTGGGTTTGTGAAGTCCAAAATGCCACCAATGCCATTCCACCAGCGCACCAATGCTGGGAGCCGTCCCGTTGGCTCACGGACAAACAGCCCCCTCTCTACGCAGGTATGGAAGTTTTCGGAGTCATAGTTAACAAAAGGGTGAATCCAAAGTGACACAAGAAATCCATCTGATTTCAGCTTTTGGAACATGGCCGAGGCATTGGGGAACTTTATTTGGTCAAACTCAAAATCTCCGTAGCGGCTGGTGTAGCGGTCATCTAGTTCTAGGTGGCTACAGTTAAAATTATGCTTGCGGATGTTGGCAGCATACGCCAAGAGTTTCTTTTGGTCAATGTCAGTCTTATGTAACGCCCAAGTCGACCATATAGGATGGCGAAACATGACTTTGGCAGGCACTTTGTTTGGTTTGTTGAAGTATCTGCGGACCATGTACTTGTGTATGGATGTCACATCCAATCCCACGCACACTCGGTAGCTAAGTTCAGCACATGGTGCCTCTCCCGGGTTTGGCTTGAAGGGACTGTCATTGTATCGTGCCTGGAAGTACATGGTCTTCTCTGTGTCATTCCAGCCCAGGTGGAAGGGCACAGAATTGTTTATCTTGATGGCCGTAGCATTGGATGAAAGCCAATAACTCTCCAAAATTCCACCAAATTCATTGCGGTTTGAGTAGATGTCACTAGTAACAAAGGGTTTGGGAGCCTGTTGACTAGAAATAGAAATAGGCCAGTGCTGAATTGCTGACACTGCACCACCATACCAGTGTGCAAACTTGTATGTCATAGCATGCTCAACAGGAATGTCAGGAACCAGTTCCTCCCAACGAACACGGTAGCATTGTACCGTGTCCTTCGGTCGCACTGTCTCAATGAAGAAGTTCAGTTTTCTATCAGTGGTACTTCCACAGCTCAGAATCTCCCCTTCCTTGGAACACGAATCCAAGTCCAGCGTACCGGACCTGCCGAGATTTAAATATAATTACAAATTTTAAGCAATCTCTCTGAACACACATTTCTGTTGTAACAGTTAAAGAACTGAAATTACTTGCATGCATTTACATTTTACATTCATTTTCTGATGTATCTGAAATATGTATCATTACACAAACATAAATAAATATTTAAAAAATTCAAAGACTGTTAAAAATGACCAACCTGAAATCCATCCTGAAAACAATAGACCCTCCCTGGTTGCGGATAATGTACCCATCTTTATTCAGATCCAGCAGCTGAGTCTTAAGCAGCTCAGCTTTGCGTAGAGAGGCTATGTAATAACACCATGCAGTCACTGCTGCAATCACCAGCACCAGGCCGATTACTCCAGCTCCAACTAAGGGTCGAGTGTCCTTGCTGTGTTTCTGTTTGGGGATAACATCTGTAACTGTGCCTCCCGCTCCTCCTGGTACAACTTGGTACATGACTTAAGTTGTTCAGTGGACAAATCTGAGAGATGCTGTTCTAGGGGATCATAGAAATGTTTTCCAGGGAACCTTGTTTGTCTCACTCTGGCCTCGTCGTTATCTCTGTTTGCTTTGCCTGTCAGGAGAGAGAGAGAAAGAAAACAGACTTTGAAAAGTTAGTATCTTGCTCTTCGTGTAATATTTGCTCTTCTCATATCAACACTGGATTTTAGGAAAATGTTGTTCAAAATAAAATGATTACCACAAAAAGGCTGCCTGTTGCTGGAGCCTTTGTACAGTACATTTGCCTAATATTGCTTACAAGTTCTGGTAAGTCAAGAAATATTGACTGTAAATTCACTTAACTATCAGAGCCATCCAGAAAAACAGCCTCAGCCAGATCAGCAGATGAGATGTGAACCTGTTTCTCAGTCTGTCTTGTTTCCTTGTCAGTTCAAAGCCTTCATTAAATTTCTAGCATTGTCTTACATGATCTGCATTGCTGCACAAAGTGATTTCACAGCACTTAGAGGTATTACGCTGTCAGGATGTAAACTTTAAAGATGTGTTTGAGATTTAACAAAACAAATCTACTGCCAATTACCCATAAGAGGATAAAGTGAATGTTCCCAGCAGTAATTCTAACATATGAGTTCAATTGAAAGAAGACTCATTTGTATGTAAGGAAGTAGAGAAGCAGAAAAGGGGATTTTGGCCTTAGAGCTCTGCCAATGCCACAAAGGAGAGGAAAGAATACTAAACTTTCAAACACCTTCAAGCCAGACAAACAAAAACTGGAAGTAACTGGGTTCAAAAATCGAACATTTTGACAACCCTGACAACATATCCAACATAAACAGAGAGACACGTGTATATTTCTATTGAATTTAGACCTAAGTGCCCCTCGCAGCAGGGATACAGCAAAAACTCTTACAGGTAATTAACTGGTTGATGTTAGTTATTGTGGCTTTAGCTTAATCGGACCAGATTACATTATAGCGTACAGCCGACCGAGGGGAGTTCACTCCTCTCCAGATTCCCTGTTTGCTGACCTAACTGGAATTGACCCTCATGGTCTGCCATGGCAGCAAGGGTCGATAATAAAAAATGCTTGCTATTAATTAGCAATCTAATTGACTAATTCTGTGTTCAACCACCCTTAGTATAGATTTCCCCCAACAACAGGAGTGATAACATGAGCCCATCATTAATTAACAGAGAACTAACTGTTGGTTCCTTGGAGATTCACTCAGGCTGCTGGACTCAAGGAGGGAAATTGACCCCAAAAATCAGGAGATGATTTACTGTATATTAGGCCTAGCCTATAAAGATTTGTTTGTTGTTTTTTAATGGAAAAGTGCAAGGACAGATGTAAGAACTGCAATCTATAATGTTTTATATTAGAATTGTACATTCATCACATCAAACTGCCACTAACAATACTTTTCATTATTGATCTGTTCAATTAATCCATTAATTGTTGAGTCTATAAAATGTTGGAACCCTGCTGTGATATCTTCAAATTGCTTTTGATCAGACAAAGATATTCAATTTCTTAAGAAAACCAGAAAATAGGTGCTGCAACTAACTATTATTACTATTTTAAATATCCATTAAACTGCTGATTATTTTCTTAATCTTTCTCTTTTTGTCTGTAAAACATTGCAAAAAAATGAAAAACGCATTTCCCACAGCCCAAGGTGATATTTAGAAAGCTTGTTTTATTTGACCAACCAAAACCCAAAGATATTCAGTTTACTATCATGTATGACATATAGAAGCATCAAACCTTATATTTTAGATGCTGGAAAATTAATTATCAAAATAGTTGCTGATTAATATTCGCTCAATTGACTAATTGATTAATAATTTAATCATTCACACAACATTCACATTTGTGTTCTTGGAAGATATAACTCCAGTATTTAAATAATTTGATAAAGCACTGGAGGAACAGTAGGGACAACAATGCAAACCTTTCTCATATATTCCCATTGTGCCAAATATTAAAATCAATGGGAAGCATTGATGGGAAACAATACACAATGAAGTTCACATGACACTGAAAGTAAATCTGTCCCTGGACGTCAGGTACAATCTTCTTTCATTTATTACATATATTTGAAGAACAAGGTGAATATTTGGCAAGAATCTTTAAAACTATTGCACTGAAAGCAAACTTTTATTTATTTTAAGCGTATTTTAAAGTGGCTTTTCTAAACAGAAATCTTTCACTCAAACCTTCTTTTTCCCACTGGCAGAGGGTGAGAAGGCAGAAAATGTTGAGCTGAGTCATTTCATTGTTGACGGTGTGATCAGGGGGGCTCATATCTGCCATTTCAGCCGATTCACTATCTATTCTGACATGGAGAAATAAACACAGAAGTGCTGATACAGTGGGAACAGCAGTCTGAGAAAGGCTCACTACCTCACGAAGTGTGTGTGTGTGTGTGTGTGTGTGTGCGTCTGGGCACGTGCCTAGAGCGCACGCGTGCGTGGAGTTTGCGTTAGCGTGTTGCAGCATTCTAATTATAGTTCTGTTATAATAATACAGTTAGATGATACACTTATATAAGTACAGGAGAGGACCTTAAAGAGGAATTAACAACAGTGACGAGCTTCACTTTGGATGTGGCTATTTTTGTTCGACTGTTGTTCGACATAAGTTAAACTTTTTACGTGAGTATTTTTTATTTTTTGCCCCATGGAATAAACACACAATAACTACACACAAGTACGTGTTTACAAGCTTACAGCCAAATGGTGCAGAAAAGAATGTCTTCTGTGCCAATGTGACCACAACTTCCTACAGTAGCCTATATACGGTAAAGTCTAATGTATAGAAACCGTTGTTGTGCGCCGTAGTGGGTGGTGCAAGAGAGTAAACAAAGGGAAAATAACATGGAATCCGTAAAGTAGCATTCTCGTTTATGCTTGTCCCGTTTTATATTCAGCTTCAAAAATAGAGTTTTTACCTACCGACCAGTGGCCGACCCCTCCCCTCAGCAGCTCCAGGCACAACTTGTTTGCTACAGTTCACAGAAAAAGACCAAGACGCATCTAGGCATGCTGCTGCGTGTCCGCCCTGACTACGCCTACTGTAGCATGGGAAATGTAGTCCAGTCGGTGGAAACAGAACTTTATATTTTCTCATTATGCACATATCACACTGTCTTACATGATTTGAGCAAATCACACTGGTTGAACAACTTTTTGAAAAACACTCAGTGGCTGTATAGTGAGAGCCAAATACATGTTTAAAAGAAGGGTGAAAAGGCCATTAGCAAGGTTAGAAAAAAAAACCCTGATTGTTCAGGACTTTAGGTTGATATGATGACCTTATTAGCACTGGTGATGTATTTTGTCTACTGTATGGTATCTCTAGAAAGTACCAATAATAATCACCATTATAAGTCTGTAATACCATGAGTAATGTTCCATTGTTTGCAGCACTATTTCTTTTTTAACCTTCCAAATATGCAATAAAGAATTCCTATATCAAATTTAGACAATTATCTCTCTAATAGTAGTATAACACTTTAATGTCATAGAATGATGCACATTAGGGGCACAGTGCCTCGTTCAATTTGATCACCACAAGGCCCCTTGTGGGAAGATCTTTGCTGCTGATTTAGTGCTAAACTGTAAAAGTGTCCATGCTGTATGTAGGGAGATAACAGTAGTGAGCGTGCAGCCAACAGTCACATTATTCATTCTTACACCTTGTCTCACTGGGTTAATTAGTAGAGAATTAAACAATAGTGAAGTTAATGATCCCTCATTTTGCTGGGGAACCTCCAGTGCCCCCTCAAGGACCTCTGCAGGTCCCGATCCCCACTTTGGAAGCCAGTGTTCTAATAGTCCTAACGAAGGCACTCAGACACAAACTCTGGATGGATGATGTAGTGTCCAGCTTGGTAGGGCTTCACCACATGGAAGCAGCTGTAGCACCCACTGTTGAGAGACCATTGGAGCAAAAGTTAGACTTCAATGGTTATTATTTATGGCACACTAACACATCTTTTCGTCAATGCAACATTGTTTATTCAACATGCACCTATAATCCAGGCTGCTATTGGAGCTGGACCTCCGGTATTGTGTCAGTGGAAAGTGGTGTTGAGCTGCTGGAGGGTTGCTGGTTTGGGGTCTTGTCCGAAGCTGAGCACCTGCATGTTGCCTGTCAAAAACAATGTCTGTTTCAAGTTTTTACACGACAACACGGCTTGTAGAATCATTCAGTTATCACTCAGTAATGTTCATCAACTCATCCAGTGTTTTCAGGGTTTAAAGGCCACAAGAAGAGGTCAGAGGTCATTCTCTCACCTGAGTTGCTGTGCTGAGAGTGGATGAACATTCCTCTGATAATCCATCCTAATGCAAAGAAAATCAATTAGAATCAATGTGTATTTAGAGTTATCTTTGATAGGTGATCAGCTGCTACCTTGCTGGGTTCTTCAAAGCTGTGTGGGGCTGAAATCCAGCACCAACAGGAGGCCCAGCCAGCTGTAGTTTCTGCAGTCCGTCAGCAGAGGGCAGAGTGTGTAATGTGGATGGGTTGACAGGGGGCATGAGGTTTGGTTTGCCTGTGTCCACTGTGTTTACATAGTTGCCAGGACAAGTTGTTACTGGGTGAAGGAATGATAAATGTCTGACAGGAGGGAAGAGTGGACGTCCAGTGTCCACAGGGGGCAACGGCTGTGATATTGTGCGGCGTGACCTGTAGTTGGAGTGGACAGTCCGGGGAAACAGAAAGTCCTGGAAAGGCATGTATAGGTAGAAATATAAGGAGAGAAAGAAGCAGATAAGAGGAAGAAGAAACTGAAACTGACTGTCTCAGATAATCTCTCCTCCTCACTATCCACTATACTGAACATACTGTATACAGTGTATCTAATTTGTGATGGTTTTAAAATGGCATATGTTTTATTTGTTATTTAATTTCTTATTTTTGTCTTTATTGTTATTAAATAAACATTTTCAATGATTATTCCTTTCAAATTTTTCTCTCAGTTCTCTCAGAATGTAAAGAACATTCAGGTTCCTCTTAAACGTCTTTCAATACACTGGAAACGTATTCTCTCTTGTGCAATCATTAAGTTCCTTTTTTTCTCTTTACAATATAGTACTCTCCTCTTAGCTCTGTTTACACCATGTCTGGATAAATACATAGGCACGGAGGAAGTACTGAATAATAGATGGGATACAGCTTTCACCAAGCAAAGACAAATGTAAACAACCAGCCACCAATTAATGTAAGACACTTTAGTCTGGCTCAATGAAGAACAATAAAGAGAGTGCCAATAATAAGTGACCCAATTAGTCTTGTTTGACCTTAATTGCACCACCTGGAAATGTAATGTTATAAAAAAATATATTTTGGCAACATTATTATTGCTAAATTACATCTCATTTTGGAGACTTGTTTTCTCAAGGAATTCTACATGTCTTTGCACAATCAGAAATAATTGCATTGTCCTTTTAAATGTCTACAGTCCATGTGGCTGTGGTTTCTTACCGGCCGGGGCTGGGGGTTGTTCCTGCGGTGGGCAGAGGTGGGTCGAGGTTGCTCTCGTTTCGCTCTGCCGGGTGAGGCAAACTGCTCTTTGTACATGGTGATGTAGAGCTGGGGAGCCATCTTCACTTATTGTGTTGTTTATTTTCCACTGCTTCCCTCCAGTCAGTCTGAAAGTCATGAACATCCTTCTCCTCCCCTGTCACCTCATGGCTCCTCCCTTTCCCTCATACTTGTTATAGTTGTTATTCTTTTACTTCCACTTTAAACTGAAAAATGGCCCATGCCATGCTCTTTTTTTATGCTTAAATCTTTTTGCTAGGTTGTGCATGCCACCTATTTTTCTGGTATACATTACTCTTTCTGCGTTATTGTATCGCAACATAGTATTTATCTTGTGCATGCATCAGTAGCTATAAATCCTGCTTGGCTTCTAGTTAACAGGCAAATAGATGATAAAAATGTTGTATTTAACTTGTAGCTATTGTTATGAATCTACTATGTTGGAGGTAGAGACAAGGTAAGAGCATCCTTGCTGATCCAGAACAACTCTTTGTTGTTACCTGAGCACTCAGCCAGTAATCCTCCTAAGCCCCAGGCCCCCTGCAGTGACACACATACCTGGGGTCACTGTCCATGACCTACTTCCTTCCCAGGGCCCCTCACAAACCAGCCAGCACTGATCTCAGACACTAACGCTCAGCTCCGAGCTGTTTTGCCTCTTTGTAGTTAAAACAGAATCAGTCTTATCAGATCTGCAGAACTGGAGCAAACCAGAAGAGGGATGGGATTTCTAAGAATCTCCCACCAGAACCCACCCAGGGTCACCTCTATTCACTGTCAGCATGCCACATGAGCATCAATAATTCACTAAGCGCTGTAGGGTGCCTTTGTGTCTCCGCTGCTCTCTCTTTCTGAGTTATCTGTGACAGGAACTGGCTGTTCATCTCGCTGCAGTGGCTGGGCCTTGTTTGACAGCCATGTTAAGCCCAATCAAATCCATGTCAACCGTATGCAGAGCAGAGGACATGGTAATAATGTGGCAGGAACGTCCTTCATGGGTGCTCAAATCCAATCCAATCTCTAGTTTGTGTTCCTTTCTTCAGTAGACTTTGATACAAGGCATGTCCCAAACTCCTCCTTTATTTATTTTCTTTACTTCAAATCTCCTCCAAACAACAAATTCCAGTCAGTTCATATAAGCAATGGTTTACAGTACAATGGATCTATTTAAAACGAAAGGTACAAAAATCTTTAAAACAGTATACATTTCAAAGCAAATGCATACATTGTAAGTCGTGCATATGATCAGTCTCAGAAGATTCTTGTTGCATTGCTTTCATGTTCTGCACAGCCAGTGAAGCAGAAGTCCACCATACACAGTGCAGACTTCAAAGCCCTTTTCAGTGTTCACAGTCCTTTTCACTGGTGCTTGGATTTCACTGCTGCTTTGAGCTTTGTGTAGAGATAACCACAATTCTGTAAGAGAAACAGGGAGATACTGTAAAACAACCCTGATACATAAAGTGTTGTCTACCTATCAGCCAGTGCTTTAAAACTAAGACATACAAGGTGCTGTACTGCTTGCAAGGAAGTAACACAGTAATACAATATGAACAGACAGTATAAAAGGGTACATTAACAAACCTGAATGGCATAGTAAACAATTCCCAAATAAGCAGCGATGCAGCCGCCAAGGAAGAGATCAAAGGCTGCAGGCTTCACTCTGGAGGAAAAAGTGTGTCATTTAGTGTCTTATTGAAATTTCCACATGCACAAAATGCAAATGAGCGCAGATATTTACCTGTACATCACTATTGGTTGGTCCATTTGATCAAAAAAGGTAATATCGGGGTCCCTGTATAAAGAAATATAGTTAATCAGCTGTGATCTTTCTTTTCCTACAGTAAAAATAAGAAAATTGCACTGTATGTGTTTTCTTCTTCTACCACATTACCTCTTGTCCTGTCGAAAAGCATGTCTGTGAACCTGCTGCAGGTAACGTTTGAACTCGTGCTCCAGTGAGTTAACCAGCAGGATGTGACTGGGCTCTTTATCCAGCAGCTGGGTGGCCCGCGGGACTGACGTCAGGAAGGACATCAGATTGGTCATACGGCCGTCCTGAAAGTCCTGCATCAGGAGAAAAAAGTGTGCCAACATTAAAATAAAATGTATTTTATGCCAATGAGTCGTTTTCACAATTCACATTCACTTTTTTAATTACCAGTTGAAAAGAATCTTTTAATAATGTTGACTTCAAGCTGTAACTTAAAAACGAAACTTTAAACTCGTTACATTCCAAATATACTCAAAGAAATGGTTTTATTCAAATGCTCACAATCTTCAAATTAATCAAATTAATGAGCTGAGGTTATTACGCAGACTGAGGTCTTTGAAGACATAAGCACTCTGCAATTCCTATATATTAACACCAGAGGTCAGCACTTGTCTTTGCATATTGGCCAAAATAACCAGGATCTTACCAACTGGCCCTTGAAAACCTGCACATCTTTTGGTGAACCCTTCAGGAATATAATAAAGATTAATCACACATTAGAATGCTGATGAAAGGAAATAAAACAAATAATTAAATGACAGTTTGTGTATTTAGATACGCGCTTTCTATTTTCATGCATTTAATCACCTTGTCAGAGAGATTGTACATGTAACGTGCCAGCGCTTCTGCTATGATGAGGCCGTTACGCTTAAGTTTCCTGAAGTCCACTTGTGACCTGTGAAAAGATACAAAGACAACTAAGATGTGTGTCTATATATCATCATTTCATATCATTTCACAGTAAGCACATAGTCATAATAATCATAAATAGACTTTAGAACCTACATAGTGTCCAGTATGGAACCACGGAGCTCAGATTTGGGATCTTCCAGATGAGACAGAGTAAAGCTTGGTATCCTGCGCAGGCTGTAGCGCTCATGCTCCCAGGCTACTGTGGACTCCACAAGATTGATCTTCTTGTGGACCAGTCCCACTTTCACCCAGGGAAATCTGGAGGAAACCACCTGGAGGAGTGGTCACAAATTTAAGGCCACGAAGGCTGAGATAGGCCATATTTTTCAGCTAGCACTAAAAGCTTGTTACCTCCTCCATTTGCTGAATGAAAGACTGTAGTGGAGTGTCCTGTTTAGGAGGGCGGGATACATGCATGTACAGTTTATCACTGTTGGCCAGTGTATCCAAACAAAGAACAAATGCCACATTGTCATGGAGCAGGCTGGACTCTGGGAAAGGAAAAGTTGGGCAAAATAAATCAAGCTGTGCTGCTCATGCTCAGATATGTTAGTACAGTAGACTACTTGGTTGATACAGCATGGATCCCTAAGTCCAAACACTTCAAGAAAAACTCACCAGCATGGTCCAGATTCTCCTCAATCCATCTCTTTGTGCCAAGGAAATTGTATTTTCCTCCTCCAGTTAAAGAGAACATTAAATTATATCTAAAAGGCCAAAAAGAAATTGTTAAATGGTTTAGTATTTTATCCAGGGCTGCCCAAAGGCCTGCAGGTCAAAGTTGGCCAACCATAAAGTTCGATTTGGTCCGCCAGATGTTTACTTTTTAAAGTGAAAATATGTAGGGTCTCTAATTATTCATTATGTTTTATAATCTGAGCATGGTAGGCAGAGTAACACTTCCAAGGGAAAAAGTTTAGGCACCCTTGATTTTATCCATAATTGACCAAATACTATGTTTTTAACCAAGAACATGATAGGAGCCAGTTTTCACATAATTAAATAATGATACATTTGCATATCTAGCAGTTTCTACCTAAACAGATGGCGATAGTGTACAGTTGTCTTGAGAATGTGACAGAGCTAGGTTTTCATCCAGGTTTGGGATGATGATATTATTTTCTTCAGCATAATAAAATGTATGCTCTCTTAGCTTTTACTGTTTGCAATATTAGCATCACTGGGTGCTTGGGCCACACTATAATGAACAAAGACCACATGTTTGGTTATGTTATTTGGTCTGTCTATGTTGTAATTTGAACTCACGGTGGTCTGGTGCTTGGGCTACTATAAAGCTTCTGGAAAAGACGAGCCAACTCTAGCAGGATTGTGACCCCACTGCCATTAGAGTCTGCTCCATATGACAACCACTGTGTTACACACAAAAAACAAACATACATCCAATTAACATAGTATTATACTGTGACTAAGAACATTTAAATCAACATATGTTAAGAGTTTTGGAAACTGTTTTATCAATTTCATGTGACTCACCGGTGCCAGCCCAAAGGAATCGTAGTGGGCAGTGATGACAATAGTGGGTGCATCCTCCCCTGTTCCAGGAAGCACTCCCTGAAATAAACATCAGTAGTTACACAATGCAGGACTGAGGACCAATCACAAGCCAAACTGACCACTGTTTTGAAGGTTTTTACTCTTCTGTTCTTGAGTTCCACACTCACCTCCAGGGTGACAATGGTGTTGTCAGTGATGGCCTTGATGGGGGAATTGTTACTCACTAAGATCTGAAAGGCTGTAGCTGTGACCATACTTCGAAGGACTGAGACAATGAAAACATACAAATCTCAGTACAGACATGCTGTATTTTTTCAGCTTCCTTGCAGTAAAATGTAAATGTACATCCATATATCCTCTTGATCCTCTCACCTCTGATGAATATAGATGAGGTCCGAGTGGCTGCAGCTTGCTTCACCTCCTCATACATGTAAAGCAGCTGTTCATCCTCAGGCACCACATACACAGGCATGAGGTTCACCTTCTGCAAGGCCTCACTCTCACTGACCATGAAAGACTGAGAGGGAGACAGAGATTCTATTTCACAAGCCAGAAATCATTAATGTTTCATAATGTCATACTTAAGCAAACTGTTATCTAATACTCACTCACTCACTGAAAGATAAGATATTATATTCAGAAACTGTATCCTGACTAGTCTTTGGTTGATAAGAAAAAGATGCTGTAATTATTTTCTGTGTTGCCTTACAACATGTCCTAGAGCACTGATTCCCAACCTGGGGATCCCAACACCAAGTAGGGGTCACCAGAGCTTCACAGGCTTGCGAGGCCTTCTTAATTTTAAGGGGTGTAAGAAAACTTTAAAAAATATATACTACACACTAGACAGGCCTACATCTCAGCATTTCATTCATTTCTGTGAAGAAAACTTACTAAATTGTTATTTTAAAATGTTATATTGAACACAAACTATATTCACACAGCCTTCACTCTCTCTAAACAACCTCATTCTGCATTAGAAAAGTATGCAGTTAAAACAAACAAAGAGCTAATAGAAAAGTGGACAAGCATCAGCGAGAAGGAAATACTGAATTTGTCATAAAGAAGCCTATGAACAGTATTAAGTATGAACAGTTATTAAAAATTAAAATACAGACAAAGATGAATTGTATAAAAATATCCTCAAAATATCAGGAAAGCCCATCTTTGATGCAATATTCAGACGAAATAATCTGCTCAAAATTCATCCAAATCACTTGTTTTACACAAACTTTCTGTAGTTATTGCGTTCAGTATTTATGTTAATTATACAGTTTATCAGTTGTTCTGTACTGTTATTGTAACGCATAGAAAAAATAATGTGAAATATGCACAAAAAAAAAGATGTCACTTTTAGTCTGGGATTGTGATAGAAAATGGGTCCCTTAAGGAAAAAGGTTTGAAAACCACTGTCCCGGAGCACGGTGTTTCTGGATGTTGTTACCTGTACATTTTCATGGGGGACACTGGAGATATTTTTGGGCAGCAGGATCATTATGGCAGCAGCACTTTGCCTCTGTGCCTCAAGGTATTTTTCTGTGGTGAAGTCCACCACCTTCATGATGACACAGCGGCGGTTCAGGACCGGCTCATCTGCTGCGCGGGCCTCCGCCACCACAATGGCCCCACGGCAACCTCAGCAGACAAAAGAAGACAAGGGAAACATGAGCACAAATATCATCTCAAGCTTCATGATGAAAAATTTTAACTCCACTCCACTTCTTCTGCTGTACACGTAAAAGTTTATATATAATATTTTACACTGAATAAAGCCATTATGCATGATGAGTACATTTACTTTAAAGCAACTACATGGAACTCTTGTGTTCATTCTGGCAGCCCCTGTTGACAAAACCAATAATGTTCTTTGTTTTGTCTGATTTCGAGGGAAATCCGAAGGGTATTGTGCTGAGAATAACTATATAGAATTCACCAGTATTCCCACTGATAGTCTTGTTTGTTTATGTAGGTCACATAGAGGCATCAGAATTAAACTGAGAATGTTTCAAAACCTGTTTAAAAAAAACTCCTTGTAGTATGTTAAAGTACATTTTTAAAATGTAATTTGCTGTTATCTGTCAATTAAGACTCATGTGTCATTTAACATCTTCATGTTTAGCTCACATCTTCACACATCTTTATTAATCATTACACAATAATATAAATGTATTTAGCATGTGGTGGCCATGTTATCTTGAGTGTAGTATGTCAGTACAGTGACAAAAAGAGAAAACTCTTCTTTTGTATCATCTGGAATTACCGATTGCGACTGTTTAACAGATGTAACAGTACTCAAGACCTCTCACAATCCAGTTTTATACTTCTCATTCTTCATGTTCCCTTATTCCCTTAGATACACCCAACAATAACTGGCATCTACTTAAATATTTACAGCTCAAAAGAGCTAAATAAAATGTGTTAACAATCCATTGTATTATATAAAAGTGTAAATATGTTGTTTTCTGTAAAATTAAAAAATTAAAAGTAAAGTGGTAACTACAACTGTAATATAAATGTAGTGGAATTAAAAGCACAATATTTCCCTCTGAAATGTAGTGGCGTAGAAGCATCAAGTAAAGTTCCTTGAACCTGTACTCACTGTAAGTACAAAGCTTGAGTAAATGTACAAAGGTACTTCCCACCACTGGAGGCGAGGTACAACTCTCTGGAACTTACCATGCTTCTGCTGTACCACGTTGTACTGTTGCATCCTGTAGGCTGTGAACTCATAAGAGGATACAGCAGGAAGAGCCGAACCGTACAGACTCTGGACACACAGCAGCAGCAGAACAGCAGCTACACTGGCGCCTCTCAGCAACATGATTTCAGGTCCTGCCTGGGTTCTGTTACGGTCTCAGTCTACGAAGAAAGGATGACGTTATACCAAGCATCATACAAGGCCAGACTATAACTATACTATGAACTATACTTCATGAGTATCACTCCATTACTGATATTCTTGAACTAGGGCAATCCATCTGGTCGTGTACTAGAGAGTAACATGGCATAAACCAACCTGGAATTCCATATTGAGACTCCCACAGTTTACACTATCTATAAACCTCAAGTCAACTTGCATCATTTTGGGTACAGAAATGTTCCTTACCTGTCTCTCAGCTGTCCTGTTTCATGAGCTCTTCGTACCACGTCTTCCTCAACTTCAGTGCTACTCCTCGCAGCGGGGACAGCTCCTGGGACTCAAGGCGTCTTCTGTAGGTAAGCCACCATTCACCATCTGCTTCCAAGGGATCAACTTAAAGCTAATCACAAATACCCAACCCCCCACACTCACTCACTACTCCTTTATCCATCTATCTTTCGATTCCTCCTCCCAATCCTCTCTTTCCTGGCTGCAGTGTTACACTCATTCACTTCAGTAGGCAATCACACATCACCAGCAGAGACTCTGTGTGGGAGGCAGGCAAACTGTTTCATACAGTAGCTATTTGCTTCATCTCCTGCAGGGACAACGGTCTGAAGCAGGCTGTTCAGCTGGTGGACTGGAGCGCTTGAGAACTGAGGCTGCATAGAGACTTCAGTCTATCTCTAACTGAAACGTGGAAAATATTCAAAAAGAAATGAAAAAGGTCAAATTAAAAATGACAGAAACACGTGCCAAACTTCAGATATCTAATATTTATTTTCTGATATGTTGCACTATACACGGAACTTTTAACACTGTTAAAATCTAAATGGAACCAGTTCACAATCATCATAATAAGCATCTGACAAATAAAAAGCATCAGTCTGCATATGAATTATTTCCCATTGTTGAAAAATAAATTAAAAACACACAACTGCAAATAAATAGAACTTCTGTTACAATGCATTACTTTAGACTCCTAGAGTGAGACGACACTGGCCTGAAGTAGTGCACTCAATAGAAGACGACTGCGATGACCTGTGTAAATCTATTAGGATGGTAATGACTGGGAAAAAATCAGCACCACAGTCAATCGCACAGTCAGTCCCTCAGTGTTAATGTTAACAGCTACAAGTCCTACACACACATCAGCTAGTAGCTGCATTAGTGACATATTACCTGACCTACTGTACTTTTTTCTCCTTAATGCAATTCTTTTAAATATCTACACACATGGCACCTTATTTGCAAACAAAATGTAATTTTTTTTAATGCTTATTTACTTTCTGACTCAAATGCTGTAGAAACATTGAGGCTGTAGCAGATATATCAGTCAGTAAGACTCCGTCTTACAGGTAACTATATAGAATTATCATTTAGTTTTAGTTTCTCTCCAAATACGGTACTTTGACCAGAGCACACATATATTCCTATATTCCTTGACCACATATTACACGTATGCTTGCAGATCTGGCACCTCTCAACAAAAAAGAGATGCATTTGCAGTCATACACTGCACACTGCAACCCCTATCAGTGAATTACACAAAATTGCTTTTGATGTTGTCCTATCTGTATGGATTTTCATATAAATGTAAAACGTCTTCAGTTGTAAATGTGCTAACAAAGTCAGCAGAGCATCAGTTTTGAACGACTGAACATGTCCCAAAAACACTGCAATATATCCAGAGAGAAAAGTAAGATTGTTCAGAAGTTCAGAAGCAACTTCACATCCTCGTCTGAAATCTTCTGTACATGAGTCAACAGGATATTCTGAATGGTACCATGAGAGTGTGATCTGTAGTTATACTGAGTCAAGTGTTACTGAAATTTTGACCTCTTTAGACTTTTTCCCTTAACCGTACACCGTGGAAGTAGGTTAAGTTGTGCCAGAACCCCTACTCTGCTTCAGCTGTAGTTAAATTACCATCGTTCCCATAAGCTGGGTTAGATTGTATCTAGGTTTAAAGAATAAATGTTTTTCAGGTGTCATGCTAGCCAAAATATTCACTTTTGCTGTTTTTTGGGAAATCCAGCCTGAACTTTCACCGTCATTTGTTCCAGAGCAGATTCACATGCAGGTGACTTTTTTTTAATCTACTGAACAGTAGTTGATGTCTTTAGAGCGATGTAAACATAAAAATAAACAGTATGCATTCAGTACTTCCTAACAGCAAGGACTACTTCCATTTCAACATCATGGAAAACATCCATTGGCGTAAAGCAGTGACAATACACAGCGGTGTCCGGTGCTACATATACAGTTCGCGTCCCCAAATCAGACAAATTGGTTATATTAAAATTCAGGGGGAATATGCAACTATACAAAACAAATACACTTACAACAAAACTTTAAAGACAGGAAAGGATTTTAGACTTCCCTTGATTTCAAAAAAAGAAAAATCCCATTTAATTTCCATCCAGGCGATATGGAATCACTTTATAGACATTCTTCAGAACCTACAACAGCTGCATGACCAAAATTGCACAACATTTCTATGTATTTGCACGTATTCTAAGCCTTTCATCAGTTCATTTATTCCCTAAAGTATATGAATTATTTTGAAACCACATTCAAATGTGGTGACTGCCTTTCGTGATTCTCTTTAAACATAAACTCATGTCAGAGCTATCATGGACAAACACAAAAGGAAGCACCCACTAACTCATGAGCTGTTCTGCCATTAGTTCTAACAACTGTTTCTCTATATCTACTGATATTACAGTGGGTGAACCTAAGTATTACTAACTTTATGTTTTTAAAAGCACGCCTCACATAATGCCTCACCAGCACAAGGATGTGTTTATGGGGTGAACAAAAACTGATAAACTTATCTGCACAGACTGCTCATTAGAACACAGTGTTAACAGGCAACATGCGAAACTATTTGTTTTCAGCTTCTTTTAACTGAATGTGAAACAATTAAGTATTACAACCCTTGTGTAACAGACAAACCTTTAAAATAAATATCTGGACTTGATATCTTAGTATAAGCATTAGTGTTTTATCAACAGCTTGATAGTTTAGCACTACGCTCCTGGACCTATTGAGACACACGCACATCTTTTTCATGTTTTGACACGTATACACAGGAAGACGAAGCAGACTGGCTGAAAGAAATGAGAAAGAGAGAAAACAATGGCGACTATGAAACTTCCCATCTCTTCTTGTCAATCAATGATGATACAACAGCTGAAGAAGTGGATTCCATGGATGGCGCGGCTGTCACAGTAATGTCACCATTTCAGGCATTTCGGTCGAATAGTTCCCGTTTCTGTTCTTCCACGACATCGCACAATCATTCACGGTCCTTGTAAACTAAAGTATCCACAAGCGCGAGATGGAGGTCGAACGAAGGACAAGCAAAAGTAACATGGTTACCTAAGAGGTAATGTTTCTGCCATGAGTCGAGTCCTGGCTTAACCAACAATGCAGAAGAAAGATGCACAGATCCTACCATAGGAGGAACATGCACATATACTGTACACATTGACTCTTTTGTCTTCCTATGATTTTAGCATTTATAAACCCTTGTTTTCCCTTTGTGCCATTGCCAGCTGAGAGTTTTTCCTCCTTGCTGCCACTCTGGTCAGTAGTTGGCCTCAGTGCAGGTGGCAGGCAGGAGATTTTTGGGTTGGGTCGGGGTGGTGCTACTGGATTTGACAGGCTGTGGAGGGAGCAGCCTGGCAGCACATGCAGGTAGGGTTGACTGCTTTAGGGGGGATCAGATCCAGGTCCTCGTCATCTGGGATCTCATCGAGCCGGTACCCGTCCTTAAGGAGCTGGATGTTCAGGTCCTGGTTGATCTGCTGTAGAAGCAAAAGGGAGGAGATACAGTATCAGCCGAGCTGCAGGTCAATTTCGACAATTCCTCAAAGGTCCAGTGTGGAACATTGAGGAGGGTCTATTGGTAGAAAATGAAATATAAAATTCATAACTTTGTTTTCATAAGTGTATAATCATCTGGATATAGGAATTGTTATGTTATTGTTACCTTAGAATGAGACGTTAATATCTACGCCATATTTCTACAGTAGCCCAGAAGGGACAAACCAAACACTGGCTGTAGACAAAGGCAGTCAACTATTTTGCGTGTTTCATGATCACCATAATTTCTCCTTGCTTGCCGTGCTTGGAAGGCGAGGGTGAAGCGAGCAAGTTGCAATCTGCAACTACACTTCTAGATGCCACTAAAGTGAAGCGAGCAAGTTGCAATCTGCAACTACACCACTAGATGCCACTAAATCCTACACACTGGACCTTGAAGGTAGGAACGACCTTGGTAGTTAAATCAGTTTCTATGTTGATTCTAAAAAAAATATCAGGATAGATGTTAAAGAGCATGGCAATCCAAATTAATAATTTTTTGCAGTGACAGAAGGCAGCAACATAAGAGTATGATGAGATCACCAGTAGAAATGGTGTGAGGCAAGAAGCAGAAACAAACTCTAAGAGGAAGAAATGAACAGGAATTTGGATGAAAATTATGGACAAACAATTACATATGTCTGTGACTATGAAGGCTCGGAGGAGCCAGTATACATTGCTTTCAATGGGTGCACATATACCTGGTGTGGATGGTGACAATGGGGTGATCAGGTGATGTTTGTGGATTCACCAAATGACGCTGTGAAACTGTATAATGTGTGTATAGATACCTGGTCCCTCAGACATCTCACCTCGGCTGAGGAGTATCCTGATGAGGAGTATCTGGACATGTCGAAGTCATCATCACTGCAAGACAGGAGACATCAGCTGTCACACACAACCTTCTCAAAAGGGGAGGGTTCAAATAATAGTAACAGATGGCAAAATGGTATTTGGGTGTTTAAAAGGGGTGGTATAGAGATTGAGTATGGCTGGGAAACTGTAAGAAACGGTCAAAACTGAAGTAGCAGAGGTTGAGATATCCTGACTTTTAAATCACAGTATAGGGTCAAACCTTAAAAAATGTTGTATCCTACATTTCCCATAATGCAACTCTGTAAGGTCTTTCATTCTACGCTTCCTAGTAAATATCCAAGTCCTTTAAACTCTATGGTCTCTCTATGGACTTTGTTTTAAATCTATCTGTGTTATTTAAGGTTTATTTAGTCTCCAAATAACCCTGATGACGTCATCAGGGGATGAGTAGTACTCCTCATGCCTGTTTTAAAACTGCTACTATTGGTTCACAGTTGCATCTCTTATTTGAACTGTCCGAAAGGATTATTCATAAACATAAAGTATTTACATTTCCAAGACTCTGATTTCACATTTTAGAGACAACCTGCTGCAGTCGCTTGAGTCCTATGGAAATGATTGGCTTTAATAATGAGGCTGAACAGCTTTGCTGTAGCACAAGTTACGACAGACAGAACACTAACAGACCATTTGCTCCAAGGAGTAGCAATATCATGCTAATGCAGACAACAGGCTTTTTCCACCCAAATGAGTAATCTGCCTTTCATACACTGTACACAAATAAAACAGAGCAACACTGTGCAATGGCTGTGCACGTGAATCCAAGATGTAGACAATAAACAAATGGTTTCCTGTGTGGCTGCGAGACATTAAGCTTGATGATGTGTATGATGCAATACATGATATAATCTTGGTTGGCTGTCCAGAGCGCTCATTTCACATTAGAGTGCTTGCCTCCCGCACGGAGGGCACAAAGGGTGGGACTCATCTGTGTCAAATACAAACCTGCTGGTGCAGGGTGGAAGCGAGCACTCCCTCTGAGCCGCTTTTCCCTGTCCAAATCCTCACCCCGCTATGCTCTAATCCTGCGCCCTGGGAGAGGCTTTGCCCCTTTTTAGGATCCCTTCTGTTAGGAACTCTCTCAAGTTGCTCTATGGATTAATGTGCCATCATGACATAGAGAGACCTACAGAACTAACAAGTTAGCCATTTTTCCTTTTAGGTAAGCCTGAAAAGTTTGTCCTTCTGGCTGTGTCATATTTTAGTTTAGTATTTTAGTACAGAACTTGATATGAAGAGACAAAATAATGTACATACCTGTCAGTGTCCAGTGCTACCAGGGGCTTCTCATCTGGGCTCTGGTCTAAAGAGGAGTAGCCTTTGTTTGGCACCACCAACCTGAAGATGAGCGTAAAAATAAAAAGACAGTACCCACAGACACACAGAAGACAAAAGTTGAAAAAAAGCATTAAACACACAACAAAAGTCAATTTTCACTTGGTACAATGCATTCTTACTGAAACACCCATAAGAATACTTCCAAACATTTCAAATCATGGACAGAGTGTTGTAAGCTTTTACAAAAAACATGATAATTGTCTTGCGTATGGTGCTTTCCTTACAGGCCACAAAGGAACAAAAATAGGGGCTAATCTGTAGCGTTCAGACTGCAGGCGTTCCTAGATTATCTTTCCCCCTCAGAGACTCGGGGTCCAGACCAGTCGGCAGTCTTTCTTATATTTCCACTAATCCGCCAGGGAGTGGGATTAGACAGATGAGCCAGTTGTCAATACTGTGGGTTGTACTGGGTTTATGCTCAGTGCTTCTGACTCTCTCATCACCACCATTCAGTCACCAAATCATCCAATTCCCCCTTCTCTAAAAAGCCGTGCTGTTGTTTGTTTGGTTTTAACATTAGGAAGTCTGATGGCGTCCTTGGCAGGCTGGCAGCAAATAACACATTCAGTAGCAGGCCGACATTGAATGTAGAGTGGAGGATAAAAGAACATATCGCTCAAAATGCTAATTGATGCGAAGTGTAACATTTGTGGTTGAGTTGGTCTACATAACGGAGAAACAAACGGCAGTGGAAGCTGTTACCTTGTCCTGGCATTCTTCTTGGGTTGTTGATTGACAGGACTTCCCACAGTGCCATTCTTCACTGATCCCTTCCTGGCAAGGTCCCTCTGTTTCTCTGGAAAACCACAGGATGTGAGGTCATCAGTAAACACATCAATAAACCTCAACTTCATGACCATCAGTTGTAGATTTAGATTTATTCATTTTTATTTCTTGACAAAAGTAACCAAATATGTTTAAAACATACAACACATTTAGTTATCTTATTTGCTATGTTTGCTACTCAGTACACAGCCTATATAGCCAGCACAAGTAACTACCAGTGAATATGACCTCTGCCAGTGATGGTGGTTGGTTATTTTTGTGTTGTTGCAGCATTTAGTCGATGAGTCTTCATTAACACATAAGTGTAAGGATAAATGAAAATATGTTGTTTTCTTACAATATTGTTACAATATTGAATTGTAGCACTGAATGCTAATCTCTTTCAGAAATATCCTGACAGTGAAGATATATCACAATGCTTGGGAATATGATGTATGACCTTGTATGGTGGAGTTTAGCAAACATGCACACTGTGGTAGCCTATGGCAGGTGGGCAGAGACACATTACTGTCATGTGTTAAATGCTTTTATATGCATTCTGCAGGGGCTTCCCATTATTTGCAACGGCTTACTGTTAAACCTACATGTGTGGTGTCATATCATGTATCGATTTGCAGTGTGTTGGCTGTGATACCTATTTGGACTTGCAGTGGTGAGGGCTTGTAGTTCATAGCCACAGTCTCTCCCTTGGTGTCAGGGTCCGCCTCTGAGGTAGAGGATGCTGCTGGGTCCTAGGGGGAAAAAAAGGCACAGTACAGAAGATATTAGCTTTGATGCTACACTAATAATGTCATATAACTAACTTTAGTCCAGTCTATCTCATGTATATATCCTAGGGTCCTGTCTCTTCACAGACCCGTATAATCCTTGTTGTGTCACTGCTGCAGTGTTTGCTAATTCAGTATCTGACAGGGATAAAACTTGGACCAAAGCTGTTTTCTAGTTAAGATAATTCCAATCAACTTGTGCTATACTTCTACTGGGCACCTGCAATTGAACACAGTCCTAAGGGCATAATCAACTCAGTACTGAGAGCGGCCCACTGATTTATCACCAGGCTAACACAGCCTGGAAAATCAGCTCTTTTTTAGAACCTGCTTGTGTCCAGAACCCTGGCGAGATTTCCCAAGCCTATGTGCCACTATAGCTGCCTGGTCTGCAGCATCAATAGGCTTCAGTGTTCTGTCTACATCGCTGGCTCTGTCTCTTTTATGTGTGAGCAGTGACGGCATGGGGAGGAGGCCGTGGGAGAACAGAGGGGGTTGCTGTTGGAGCCACGGTTTCCCCCAGATTGAGAGAGGGGAGCTAGGGTGCGCTTGGCCTGCTCTGCTGACAGAGCTCCACATTATGTTGATCCTACAGGCCTCCCCTTGTTGCACTCTGAGGGATTCCACCAGCCACATGGACGAAGGCTACCAGGCATTTGGCATTCAATATCTCTGTATTCTCTCCAGAGAAATGGCTGCTATATTTAAAAGCAAGTAAACAACTGGAGCCGAAACATAGAACTTTACCATTAAAGTTGAAAATTCATATAGGCCACTGCTTTATACTGAGATACATGATGCTACTTAATATATAATTATCTTTTAATAGTGTAAAATAAAATCTCTAATCAAAGTGTTATCTTAAAGGCACTTATGAGGGCGAGGCTTGTTTATACTTCATAAAACCTTAATGAAAAAATTAAAAAAGAACTGTAGTGCTTTTGAAGATTGCGTGAAGGGATTACAAAATAAATAGGTCTAGACACAGATATGCCTGAATCTATCCAATCAAAACCTTTTCATGGTATTATTGTGAAATACTATAAGAATTTAGGCCAATTCCATGAAACCAATAAAGCTTATCCAATCTCACAGGGCCTTATGAAAAATTCATGAGTATTCACTGCAGGGACAGTGAGAAGCTTATTTTGCATATCGATTTTCATGTAACACATTTAAAAACAAGCTGCCAACAACACAATCTGGCAAAACAGACCTGTAATGGCTAGTTAATTAAATTCAGAGTGAGAAGTTACATTTTTGTCATCAAACCAAAAGGCTAACTCTGTAGCTTTTAAATGTTTCTCAGGAGCCAACCACAGCAATGCGTCTATTATTGTGAAAGAACAGTAACCTCCTTCTATTTCCCCACTTCTCAACAAGAAGTAGTGATAAACAACGGGCTGATGTTGTTGGTTTTTGAAAGCCGTCGGTCCAATACGGCCAAAAACATCTTCGATGGATACAGTAGTCTCAATCTCATCTGGTGATGGAGCATTGTTCAGTTAGCTGGAATAATTAATGAGAGCTGCAACGGGGAATACATTATGCACACCGGTAGGAGCGATGAAAGCACAGTGTACAGATGAGGTATTCCCGCTGTAACAAGCACAAACATGAGCTCTTTCTGTTCTGTGACAGGCCCTTCCCTTGTATCATTGAGCTTCCCTGTCTTTTTTTTTTCCCCATTCTTGTTTTTCACACTTTCCCTTCACCACATAAAGATACTGTGATGAGGTTGGGTCATATTGTCTGTCAAATAAATCCCTTTGAACGTTTTCAGCACAACTGGCAGTGAATAATGAAAGAGATTTGGTATTAAGCTGTCTGTGGAAGAATCCACTGCCACTTCTGGCACATAAAGACAGCGCAATTACAGATAGCAAGAAGCGGGTAGCGCACAAATAAAACCCCTCTAAAAATATAACACATAACACAATATCAAAGTTTATAGATAAAATGTATAAAGTTTGGCCAAAAGAAATGCTACCGAAAGTTCTCAAACCTAAATAATGTTAAAATAAGTCCTTATATGCATATGGTATATCGTTATTATACATATACGTGTAGCATATATATACCTTACTTTGATGAACCGTCAGTCACAACAGTTTGCTGAAGTGGGCCAAAGTCAGCTAGACCATTTAAAACATACATTAAGAGCCGGGGTGCTGACAGACACTAACAAATGATGAAGACCGGACCTATGACATCTCTAGGGGTGACACATTGATTTTTGTGTATTAAAAGTAAAACAGGGCCAGTAGCCCTGACCTTCAGCATGCTCTCACACACCTACACACACTCATGGTCTCACACACACAAACAAATGTGTACGCACACACACATATAAATGAAATGACCTCTTAGTTTCATCAGCCTGTCCTCCTTTAGTGCCTCTGATGATGAAGAGCCACAAGGTTGCTGACACAGCACAGGCAACAAGCGATTGGTAGGATTATACATCACGGTCTCCCACTGGCCAATGGAAGTGTAGACTGATACATCAGGTGACCATTAAAACAGTTGCATGCTATCCTTATGACAACTGGGCTGTACTGCAGTCCCAGTGTGTTGCAAGGTAATCTTCCATATAATAAGATTTAGCCTACAGTAATCATTCTCAAATGCCCCTGTGCCAGCTTGAAAGGGGTAATTATTGGTACACCATGCTTAATTCAAAAGACAGATTTTGATGAGTGGTTCATTGAAAATAATATTCATTTTACATTCACACTGATAACAGACAATAACACTGATTCACTCTAAATTCCATATAAAGCTGTGTGAAATTCAAGGAGGCAGGTGCCAGGCGCATTCATGCAGTTTATGAATCACAATGAAGTTATTAGCATTAAAATGCACAGCCATGTGTGCCACAGCAAGCTGTGATCCTGACACAATCAAATGTAAGGTGAGGGACTGTTTGAGAGGCTGGAGCTGCAAAAGACAGCATTTAAAGAGACCCACAGTGTTGTCTGACTCTGGTATGATAATTACGGGACGTGATGAAGAATAAACTATACGTTTTCAAGAGTTTCAGGCACAGAAGCTGACTACAGACACACTGCAGCCACAACCGATCGAATATCTCTGATATTGGATTAAAATGTGCAGAAATCTCGCTGGATGAAACATGAGAGCATATTCATCAAACCTTCAGAGGGAGAGGCACTCGCTGCTGCACAAAAAGGAGACTTTCTGTACCAGAGAAAGTATGTTCTTTCTGTGATTTCTGCTGGAATTTAGCCTCAGGGGTGGTATGCCTGGGAAAGCACGGCTACGATAATGAACAGTAGAACTTGGAGTTCTGCTTTTGCCTAAACCCCCAAAGGCAAAACAAAAAAAAATAGGAACAGCTGGTTGAGGCTGCTTTGTTTGAAGTGTGGAGAAAAAGGCCCAGCCTATCAGAATTATCTCTGGTATAACAACATAGGAAATGCAAGGCAGTAGATCAGTTCATTATCTGTGGTCAGGACTTATCACTTCAGATCGTGTGCAGGTCGGGCCTATATCACACTGGTATTCAGACACTGGGACTATTCTCTCACTGTAGGCCTGCTCGGGCTGATCCATCGGCAGGGTCGCAGTCCGCAGTACGGGTCCGGACAGAGCTCTTATTCAGGCGATCATCTGGGATCTCAGCTCACACAGACCCAAATAACACGTCACCAAATGACGAAATGTGAAAACGGTGGGCTGTGTCATCTACTGATGTAAACAGGCGCATACTGACGTGGATTTGAGAAAAAAAAAAAAAAACCTGGATTGTAGTCAAGTGCGCAGTTGAATTACTACGACAGAATAAAGTGAGTGGTTATGTATTTATTAGTTAAGTCTTACCATTCGTACGTGCATTATTAATGTACGTACAAAGGGCAGATATAGCGGCAGCCGCTGTCCTTTCATCCATACACTACCAGTGTAACACCCATCCATACAGCTGTACACTGCTCTCGGTTGGCTCTCACACGCAGATTATGTGACACAGCTGTCACGATACACCGCACGAGAGACACATGAATATTGTCGATTGTATTCAATGGAATTATTTTACATTAAGATGTGTTTATTTGTCTGTCCTCGCTTACCAAAGGCTGTGTCTCTCCGTTGACTGGAGGTACTTGGAACCGGTCGATTTCTTCCATCATTTTGGCAAAGCGTTACAGAAACGGTACAGCCGTCCACATAAACGGTGAATGTGTCTAACTATCCCGGTTAATGATGCTCGGTAGTCGGGGACCTTCGTTTTTCAGCATGATAGCAGCTCGTTTTCCTCCATCCTGACAGAGGTGACTCGACAGCAAAACAGCAGCACCGCCCCACTTCCGGGTCTGTAGAGTATTCATGACAGGTCTGTCCAATCACAGACGAGATAGCAAATGCATACATTGACGATTTATTTAACTAAATACGGAGACATTTATACAGTCCGTACCTGTGTAAATACTGCGTGTTGTTTCAGGAGAAAACAAATAAACAAATACCCATTCGTCTTCAGAGTAATGCAACTTAACGTAACGTTTTCCACTCTATCTTAGTCTTAGTCAAAAACATTGGACAACCTTTTTAAAGAACAAACGCTGATTTAGAAGTGAACATCTGCGACCTGCGGCCTTCAGAAGATATACAATGTTCTCAGGAGCTGATACAACTAATGCAGAAGTGGAAAGGGGCTTTAATCTGGAGAACCCACAGTGTGAGCTCCGTGTGGTGGGAACTATCTTGACTTCATCGGGATCTCTTCCCTCTTCAGTGACCAACCGAGACGGCTGGTTGCCCTGACAACGTATAAACAGCAGCAGACAGCCGTTACCTACCGTTACCTACCGTTACTAGTCTTCTTTTGCTTTTAACGGTTTCTCCTTTACTTGTTGAAGTGCTGCTATGTTTTGAAAAGGTTAAATAGCTAAATCGTTTGTCAAGTAAGTTGAACCCGACTCTTATCGCGATGCCTGTTTCTAACAACAACGTCGCAGCATCTGTGAGAAAGGTAAACGGCAGCTTACTTTAGCGTTAACTAGCTAAGTTAGATGGCAAAGTGAAAATGCAACTGCATAAAATAAAAGCAGAAGAGTTCACTTTGAGTGATGTTAAACTGGCAGTGTTTGAACTAACTTAATAGTTGGTTTTCATTTGTTTTCACACAGGGCTCAATTGTTCAGAAGGCCCCTGGTGCGAAGTCAAACAAAACTGCAAGTAAGAAAAAGGTGGGTCCACTTCCAACTCAATAAAATAAAATGAAATCCACAAAAATAGTTCAGGATTTTGGCATCAGGCAGCAGGAGGAACAATTAAGAGAAACACATGTGCTTTTACAACGTGATGTAATTTTTAACTTAACCAAGATATAAATCTCTTGTGTCTGTAACTGCAGGATGAGGAAGAGGGTGTGGACACAGGTGATGGATGGGATGAGTGGTCTCATGGGAAAGGGCTTACTAAGCCTCCAGATCAGCTGGAGCTCACTGAGGATGTAAGTGGAAGGGGATCTTCATTTCTCAAGTATAACACATCCAGATGGGCTGAGGCGATTGACTCAGACTTTGCTGATGTTGCTTAATTCTTTTCTCCGACTAGAATGATGCATTGGCATCTTTTGGTTATTGTTTTCTAATTAATGCCTCTGCCAAATTAGTTAGGCATTCATAACCTGTGCTGGTATGCACTCTGCTATATCTGTAATGATATTATTAGGAGCTGAAGACAGAACTCACAAGGATCCTGACTGCAAACAACCCACATGCACCACAAAATATTGTCCGCTACAGCTTCAAGGTAAGAAAGTTACATCCAAGTTTAAGACTTTACATCACTTAATGCCTTTGCTGTGATACTGAAGCAACCTCATACTGAAGATTATCAGATGTTCTTGCGTCACATTTAAAAGATGATAACAAATGATCCTGTGCTTTTGTGTTTCAAAAATGTTTGATACCATGTAAGTAGTTCAGTAATATACCTTTTCTCCTAACCACAGTCCAGTCTGCTCGCTCGTCCTCACGTCATTGCTTCTTGTGTTTTCCAGGAACGTTCCTACAAGCCTACCAGTGTAGTGGATCAGATGGCTGTTCACTTTGTGTTGGATGGCAGCCTCCTGCATCAAGACTCTGATGAGGCTCGTAGACTGAGGGCCAAGGAGGGTCTCCCTGAGGGTAGTTACTGAAACCTGCTGCAGTGTTATTCTGTGTTATCACAGTGACACTTGTTAGATATTCAAGGCTAATAAGTCATTCCTGTCCATATGTTCCATGGTGTGTTTTTATAGCATATAGTGTTGTTGTTTTTTCTAGTGTAGTTCATACTAGGTGCCACATGGTGTCACTTTCAACATGTGCCATAAAATCCATGTCTACTTGTAAAAAATGTGGCGATTTTCTACACAGTCCAATTATGATTTAACATTTGGAAAATTTCCAGAGACTGCAACAGTCGACACTGGAACAGAACCTGATGAGGAGAAACCAGAAACTCCGGTAAAAACATGTTTGGTTGAACTAAAATCAAAGCACTGGTGTTTGTTGGACAGTATATTCCATATTGGACAATATATGTCTTCTTTATCAATTCATTCAATTCATCATTTCCTCACAAGGTCAATAATCAAGAATGTGACTTGAGCTACACTTCCCCATGTTGGTTTTCCACAGGCAACACCTGTAGAGGATGGAGGGGAAGCGGGAGAAGAGGACAGACCAGACAGTGTTGCCTCCAAAACTGACAAGAAGGAGCCAAAGATTACTAACCAGTTCAACTTCAGTGAGAGGGCCTCCCAGACCCTCAATAACCCACTGAGGGTACGAAGAAGGATAGCCTCCTGCTATATCTTATCATAGCTCACATCTTTTACATACAGTAGTATTTGAGATGACTCACATTTAAAAAGGGAAAATGTTAAATATTGGAGTGTATGAAAAATATATTATTGATTTGTGTATAATGAAATACTCATAGCCTGCCTCAAGAGTTTCAGTGGAGTCACTCGTATTTTCCTGTAGGAAAGAAGCTGCCAGACTGAACCTCCTCCACGCAGCATCTTCTCTGCCACTGCAAATCAGGTACTGAGTTGCCTGACATGTTTGAAAGAGATGTTTAGGCCAGGCTTGTTTTCACACAGTAGAGCATCGGTGAATGTACACTCTCACATGGGCTGACTGTAATAACTCTATTCTATTTGCAGTGGGAGATTTATGATGCGTACGTCGAGGAGCTGCAGAAACAAGAAAAGAGTAAAGAGAAGCAAAAAGCTGTACCATCAAAGAAAGATAACGACATAAGCAAGAAGAAGATGATGCTGACGGAGACTCAGGTAAATTGAGTGCTCACCAATATTCCTGCCTAAATATAACGTGTGTGTATTTTCATCTTAGCACTGTTACATCTGATATTGGTGTTGCCATACATTACCACTTAATACATTGTTAATGGCTGTCGAATCATATTATCGCCATAGTGTTGCATCTTCAAAGCTAACAGTATGACTACCCAGGATTTGTCATAATGCTTTTACCGTCATACTCACGTTGTTCTGTCCATGATCACTTAATGAGGAAGGGAAATTAAAATCATCATTTACCAGTATGTTATTGCAGTTTCCATCCAAAATGATGTCATGTTTCCGTTATAGAGCGATGACATCGGCAAAGTGGACAAGGCGTCCAAGATCTTTGAACGAATGGTCAATCAGAATATATTTGATGACATAGCACAAGGTATGTTCCAGTAAATATTTGACACAATATTAAACTACAATCCCACTAGACATTCACTTTCTCTTTTCTTCTTGCCATGCCCTCCTTTCATGGCCTTTCAGATTTCAAATACTTTGAGGATGCGTCTGATGAGTTCAGAGAACAGGAGGGCACCCTTCTCCCTTTGTGGAAGTTCCAGTATGATAAAGCTAAAAGACTGTCTGTCACTGCCCTCTGCTGGTAGGTCTGCTAGGTGGAAATATGTTGCTGCAACAGTCACATTATCTCGTGTTTTTCAATTTTGTGTACCCCTTCTGTTGTTACAAGAAGGGAGGATGACTGATTGATACACCTGTCCTCAACAGGAATAAGAAATATCAGGACCTTTTTGCTGTGGGAATGGGATCATGTAAGTACACAGGATAAGACTGAGGATTGATAAGTGAGCACTTACCTTAAGATTTATGAAACTATTTTAAATTTGGTGTTTGACCTGATCTTTTTTGCATCCTTCCCTCCAGACGACTTCAGTAAACAGGGGCGTGGCATGCTTGTCTTCTACTCTCTGAAGAACTCTGCCTTTCCAGAGTACATCTACCCCACTAGTTCTGGCATCCTGTGCCTCGACATCCATGAGCAGCATTCCTACCTGGTGGCGGTCGGCTTCTATGACGGCTGTGTGGCTGTCTACAACTTGAAGGAGGAGGGTGTGGAACCTGTGTATAAGAGTACAGCTAAGACCGGCAAGCACACTGACCCCGTCTGGCAGGTGAGAGAAGGGGACTATTGTAGAGGTAACTGGGACTTCAGGGTGGGTTTCTAGTTCCAGTGACTGTGACTCCACTCTTGCGCTAATACTTTGTGCCAAGTGTTGCCATGTAGGAACTATTCAAACCCGTTAGTTGGGACTGTAAGTGGACTAATAAACCCTCTAACACCAAGCATGCAGTGATGCAGAGTTATGATAATCCCTTAACCTAACAGAGAATCCCATCTGCTGGAGAGTAAAGGAAATGTCACATAATGTCTTATTCAGGTTCACTGGCAGAATGACGACATGGACAACAACCACAATTTCTATTCTGTATCATCTGACGGCCGAGTTGTGTCCTGGACACTTGTCAAGGTTAGCCAAGAAAATATATTTATTTACATACTATATATTCTGTCTTTAACATGCACTCTTATATGGTAGCATTAACAGTGCTTTTCTCTCTTTTCATGTTATTTTAGTAAATGCAAATATAATTCATCTTTTGAGATGCTAATAACTTGCTTTGTGTGTGTGTGTGGATAAGTGTATCTGTGTGTTTGTTTATATTTCCAATTGTTTATGAGGTTGTCTTCATTTGAATGTGTTTATAGCTATAATTTGCATATATTACTGCATCACAGTGTGTTTGCATGCTTGCAGAATGAGCTGGTGTTTACAGACATTATCAGGCTGTCACTGAATGGTGCTGTCTCTGAGGGGCCAGAAGGTGCACAGCAGCCCAGCATCGGTAAGGTCTCTAAGTTACTCTGCATGTCATCTTGTGCATGTATGTATTTCATTTCTAAACTGCTGTTACTCATGCATAGTACTGCTTTTAAATATTATCTGATATCAGATCAGATTTGCGTGTTGAATTTAAGTGCTTGGTGCCTCTTGTCTACAGCCTGTGGAACATCATTTGACTTCCATAAACAGATCGACTACCTCTTCCTAGTTGGCACAGAGGAGGGGAAAATACACAAGGTATGTGTCAGGGATTCCACTATGCTGGTTTTGGCTGGATGACATTGGCCACTTGTACAGTTACATTAAGCATCTTGTTGACGTTGCTCACTTAGGCAGTTTGATGTCTAGTGGGGAAGGAAATCACAGCATAACAATAACAATAATAACAAGGTACTACATATTGGCCACAGTACTGATTATATGATATGGATAAGTCTATGATACATAATAAATTGCAGGACAATCATCTATCATCTAAAAACATAACCTTGTAAAATGGCAAAATAGTTTCTAAAAACCATGAATTAATAAGGTAGCGTATTATTCACTTCATTTACTGCATTTCAAGCACTCAGGCATCCATGGTTATTAAATAATTTCAGTAGAGACTTGGCACTTGCTTGAGATAATCCTGTACTGAGACAGATGTGTCCTTGTTCCATACTAGGTATGCACTACAGTATGCAGTAGTGTTGAAAGTGCACTGTATTCACAGGTAGTATGTATCAAATGAATTCATTTTTCAGTCCATTGACCACACGTGTCTTAATTAGCTGTCCTCCTCATTCCCTTTGTTTGAATCCACAGTCAGTATATAGTTATTTGGTAGTAATTTCCAACTATTATATTAATTGTAATTTGATGTTTTAGTTTGTCCTGGTTGACAGTGCCGTAGAAATCGACCCCAAAACAGAACCAGGGTCAAATAAACAGCAATACTTGTTGTCAGTGTATACGTTATGCATCACAACAGAGGTTGTGCATATGAATGACCACTAACAAAGGTGCTAGACAAAAGAAGACAGAAACAGCCCATCTGGAGATTTGAACACATTGCCAGTTATCAGTGAACAGTGAAATCTGGTAAAAGTTGGATGAACAGTCCTCTGGGAGCCC